AACTCTGAGCTGAGCTTCCTGCTGCTCTTCTCCTTGACTCTGTGTTTCCTGTGTTCTCTGACCTTCATCGGCCGGCCCTCTGAGTGGTCCTGCATGCTGCGACACACAGCATTCGGCATCACCTTTTTCCTCTGTATCTCTTGTGTTCTGGGGAAAACTATAGTGGTGTTAATGGCCTTCAGGGCTACACTTCCAGGCAGTAATGTGATGAAATGGTTTGGGCCTGCACAGCAGAGACTCAGTGTTGTGGCTTTCACTCTCATCCAGGTTGTTATATGTATCCTCTGGTTAACTATTTCTCCTCCTTTTCCATTTAAGAATTTTACCCAGTTCAAGGACAAAATCATCTTAGAGTGTGCTCTGGGATCAGCTGTAGGTTTTTGGGCTGTACTTGGGTACATAGGCCTTCTGGCCATCTTATGTTTTATTCTGGCTTTTCTTGCTCGGAAACTGCCTGATAACTTCAATGAGGCCAAATTGATCACCTTCAGCATGCTGATATTCTGTGCAGTCTGGATCACTTTTATTCCAGCATATGTCAGCTCTCCTGGGAAGTTCAGTGTAGCTGTAGAGATATTTGCTATTCTGGCCTCCAGTTTTGGACTGCTCATTTGTATTTTTATTCCAAATGTTATATTATCTTACTGAAACCAGAGACTAATACAAAAAAAAATATGATGGGGAAAGGAGCATCAAAGTCATTTTGAAAACATAAAATAATATGATAGCAAAGGCATTATAACTTTTATATAATTTTTTAGGCAAACGCTCAATAGTCACCTGTTTTCATTTTATTGAGGAGAGTACCTCTAACATTTTCCCACTGTACTGTATGTGATTTCATTGACATAACATATGGAGATGACAGTATTTTCTGCAACGTACACAACTAGTCAAAAGTATGGACACACTTTCCCATTTGATTCTTTGGGTAATGTGTCCAAAACATTTGACTGGTAGTTTAATATAAGTACAGCTTAATATCTAACTCCTTTCTGATTTAATAACATTTAGTACAGTTTATAATCTTCCAAAGAAAGAATAACATCCACATTTTTCCTAAATAAAAACATGTTTGCCTTCTTTTCTTTCCTCTGGTGGCCTGAGGCTTGAGGTAAACCATGACAACCATGACATCCCTCTTGTTGTCAAAGGTGTATAAAGCCCTGCTGTAAGTTGTAGAGCTGATTCACCTGTCATGTAAAAAAAGAAAAAAAAGCAGAGGCATGTTGTTGTTGAGTTTGTTCTTCTTGCTTCTTGCAATGGGGCAGGGAGAGTTTGTGTGCCAGCTGCGAGGCTTAGTACAACGACCTGAACTGGCCCAGGATGGGGATTTTGTTATTGGAGGCATATTTTCATTTCGCACAGGACAGGATTATGTAACTAACACATTTCAGGCTATTCCAGAAATGCGAAAATGCAACAAGTATGTAATGTCAGACTAGTACATTTTAAATGGGTTGTTTCTCTGTATTTTGTACTGTATTTGAGAAATGAACATAAAGATAAATGTATCTCTTTTTTTACCACCAAGTTTTGATTTTAGAGAATTCAAATTTGCTCAAGTGATGATATTTGCTATAAATGAGATCAACAAAAATCCTGAAATATTGCCTAACATTAAACTTGGCTACAAGATTTATAACAACTGTGGAACCATGGATATACTGAGAGCTGCACTGGCACTGGTGAGTGGACTAAAGGATGAAATCAGTGATGACAGCTGCACTGAAAGTGAGACAGTGCAAGCTATTTTAGGACATTCAGGATCAGGACCAACAATTGCATTTGAACAGGTTGTCGGAAGATTCCAGGTGCCTGTGGTAAGTCAAAGGAGAGAAGTCAAATCAGTTAATATGCAGTGTTGTCTGATACTGTATTAAGTGTACTACTGTGTCACTACAGTTTGTTGCTTTGTTCCGCAAAATGATAACTTGTACAAATTTTAATGACCATACAAGAAAAGTATATATTTACGTGGTCACTGCCAGTCAGTTATTTGTATATTTCATTGCAGATCAGCCATTTTGCCACCTGTGCCTGCCTTAGTGACAGGAAAGAGTATCCCACCTTCTTCAGGACTATTCCCAGTGACTACTACCAAAGCAGAGCCCTGGCAAAGATGGTTAAGCACTTTGGATGGAACTGGATTGGGGCTATAGCTGTGGATAATGAGTATGGCCTCTATGGCATTGCTGCATTTATTCAAGCGGCACAAGAATTTGGAGTGTGCACTGAGTATTCTGAAGCATTTTCTTCATCAGATCCACCTGATCGTCTACAAAGAATAACTGGGATCATTAGGCATGCTACTTCCAAAGTGATTTTGGCTTTTATGTCTCATAGAGAAATTAAATTGCTGGCGATTGAGTTGTACAAACAGAATATTACAGGACTGCAGTGGGTTGGCAGTGATGCCTGGATCACAGATCCCTCTCTGGCTGATAATGAGGGACACAGCATCTTGGTAGGCTCCCTGGGCTTCTCTGTAAGCAGTGCAAAGATTCCGGGCTTGGAGGGGCACCTGAGGCAGCTCCACCCCTCACAGTTTCCTGACAGTCAGTTTGTCAGGGATTTCTGGGAAGACGTGTTTCACTGCTCTCTGAACAACACTGCAAACACCCCAAAAAAGCCATGCAGTGGCTTTGAGAGCTTGCAGAATATTCAGTCATATTTTACAGATGTTTCTGAGCTTAGATTCATTAACAATGTATACAAATCAGTCTATGCTGTGGCCCATGCTCTCCACAACCTGGTCACATGTGAGGAGAAGAAAGGCCCTGTTTACAATGAGAGCTGTGTTCTGACTAAACACATTGAACCGTGGCAGGTGAGGAAGCACCAGTTAAGTGTGACAAAGTAACAACAGCCGTAATCTGTTGTTTAACACTCGTATGTATATATATTTTTTGCTAGGTTCTGCAATATCTCAACACTGTGAATTTCACAACTAAGGAAGGAGAAAGAGTTTATTTTGACAATAATGGAGACTCACCAGCGACATACGAACTTGTTAATTTACAAATGACAAACAAAGACACCATGGAAGGAGTAACAGTTGGCATTTATGATGCTTCTCTTCCAGAGAGTCATCACTTTATCATGAATAACAACCCTGTTGTCTGGGGAAACGAACTGACCAAGGTAAAACAGATTTCTGGTTGGACTTAACTGATTTACTTAAAGTTGTTTGAAAAACCTTAATATTGATGTTGAGCATTATAATTTTGATGCATACTTAAATGTACATATCGCTTAAATTGCATACAAATTGTTTATATTTTGTTTATATGTGTAGGATGTGCCTGTGTCAGTCTGCAGTCAGAGCTGTCTGCCAGGAACTCGCAAGGTCCTCCAGAAAGGAAAGCCCATCTGCTGTTATGATTGCATATCTTGCCCAGCAGGCGAGATTAGTAACTTAACAAGTAAATAAACTATGTACCAGTGTTTAATTTGCTATGTGAAAACTATAGAAAACTATAATGTGGTTTTATGATTGTTGACCTCAAATAATAACAGTGATTTAACTTCACACATCTTTATTTTGCTTTTCATTTGCAGATTCAATATACTGTTTGAAATGCCCAGCGGAGTACTGGTCCAACAAACAAAGAGATGCCTGCATCCCCAAAGAAATAGAATTCTTGGCATATGATGAACTCCTGGGAACACTGTTAGTCTTGTTGTCATTACTAGGAGTTTTTCTATCTATGATCATAATACTAGTTTTCTACTACCACAGAGAAACCCCAATAGTGCGAGCCAACAACTCTGAGCTGAGCTTCCTGCTGCTCTTCTCCTTGACTCTGTGTTTCCTGTGTTCTCTGGCCTTCATTGGCTGGCCCTCTGAGTGGTCCTGCATGCTGCGACACACAGCATTCGGCATCACCTTTGTCCTCTGTATCTCTTGTGTTCTGGGGAAAACTATAGTGGTGTTAATGGCCTTCAGGGCTACACTTCCAGGCAGTAATGTGATGAAATGGTTTGGGCCTGCACAGCAGAGACTCAGTGTTGTGGCTTTCACTCTCATCCAGGTTGTTATATGTATCCTCTGGTTAACTATTTCTCCTCCTTTTCCATTTAAGAATTTTACCCAGTTCAAGGACAAAATCATCTTAGAGTGTGCTCTGGGATCAGCTGTAGGCTTTTGGGCTGTACTTGGGTACATAGGCCTTCTGGCCATCTTATGTTTTATTCTGGCTTTTCTTGCTCGGAAACTGCCTGATAACTTCAATGAGGCCAAATTGATCACCTTCAGCATGCTGATATTCTGTGCAGTCTGGATCAC